TTTTTTTTTTTCATTTATTTTTATTAGTTGGAGGCTAATTACTTTACAATATTATAGTGGCTTTTGTCATACATTGACATGAATTAGCCACTGTTTTTTTCTCCTTCCTTTCCTCTCTGACTTCAGTCAGCCAGATCACCTCTTTGCTGAGTGTTACAGCTAATCAAGATTTCTTTCCAGCTGTCTGGGAGGATAAGTAGCTTCCAGCCTGGTTCCCAGCCCTGGCTAAGATCACTGTCACCTGGGAGCTCCTTTAACTTGTATATTCTTGGTCCCACTTCAGACCTACTGAATGACAATCTGGAGGGTGTGTGAGAAGGATGGAGCCATTACCAGCCCATAAAGTACCTTTTGTACAAATTTAGAAAAAGTTTGAAATGCCTCAGGGTATGTGTCTTAGTAGTAGAAAGCAACAAGCTACATATATGCTCTGACTTAGCCCTTTAGCCAAAGGCTTTTGTGCAGTGTACAGCCTGCACAACCTTACTTGGTGGCTATGTCTGTTACTTGAAAAGTTACCCCAGTAATTGTAGTGGCGATTACCCATCTGTGGGCTGGCCTCTGCTCTACCTTGCTACTCTAATGATTGAAGAAGTTGAAGTCCAGGGGAGCATTTCTGCTACAGAAAGCCTCATAGCCAGTGGCAGAAGACCAGAGGAAGCTTAGAGATACCTTTCTAAGTGGCTCTACACACACCAACTTTCACCAGCTGAGTAAGGGAGCTGCAACTCGGGGTACTGATCTGTGATGCCGGAATTGTCATAGTAAGCAAATGAATGACTCACTATTTGACCCTTCAAGGTATTGGGAGTGGGCAGGGAAGTGGGAAAATGTAGCACATGCTTTGTTACATGTCTGTCTGTTACATGGGCTTGGGAGAGACAGTAACTTAAAAGCGGAACATGGGGTCCCTAAAGTGAGGGTGAAGGGAGGGACTCACCTTCTTAAAAGAAAGGCTGCAGAAAAAGCCAAGCTTCCAGGTTTACCAATCTGCCCAGCATTCTGTCCCGTTTGCTTTTATCTGGGTCCAGACTAAGGCAGACCATGATTTCTGGTGTTTAGTGTTGCCACCGCAAATGCAAACATCTCTGATTT